TCGCGCAGGGAGGGCGGGGGGAGGGGGCGCCCTGGCGGGACCGGGCGCGCTGGGACCGCCCCGCCCGCCCCTCGTGGGGAGACCTGCAGTGTCTGCGAGGCCTTTCGGCCGCTCCACGCAGTTCCTCCGTGGTGTGCGTCTGTCCTCCATGATTATAACCCTAATGAAAAAGTTGTAAAAAGTTGAGCCAATATTTACAAATTGCGAGAGTCCACAGAAGCCCCGCTGGGCCTGTGCAGGGCTCCGCAGGTGCTTGCCCGGAGGAGGGCTGGCGGGCGGGCCCCTGCGTGGCCCCCGCGGGTCAGCAGCGATGGGCCTAGTCAGTGTTTTGACTCCAGCCAGAGTGGCCTCTGGGAGGGAGTCCAGCTGCCAGGCCTGGGTGCCAATGCTCACCGCCCCCTGCCAGGGGTCCTTGGTTTCCTTCTGTTGGGGTCCCTGAAAGCATGGGAGGAGGGTTTGAAAGGGTTTATTGTGTCAATTATACCTCAGTGACACTGTTAAAATATATTAAATCGCACCACAAACTCCTAGAAGCAAACCCAGAGAACTGGAACAAGCACCCTGACACCCCAAAACCCATTAAGACGGAGCATTTGATTGAACAGCCGCTGGGGTCAGAGGGTGCAGTGTCCTGAACACAATGAGAATGCCTTAGAGCTGGGGGGTGGGGGGTGCACAGGCGGCTGGCACCGGCTGCCAGGAGATGCCCACCTCCACCTGCAGTCACTTGACCCTCTGGGCTGAGTCCTGGGGAGTCTCCCTTCATGGCCCGGAGGCAGAGCGGGCCTTGGCCAGCCCCCCGCGTCTTTACCTGGATGACAGTTCTCTACCAAATGGTAAGTCAGAGTGGAGGCTGCTCTTCATCCGGAACTACTGTAGATGTGTCCTTCCTGACCACCAGCAAGCCTTCGGAGGATGCTATGGTACCCATTTTGCAGAAAGGGAAACAAGCTCCGCTGGGGTGAAGGCCCTGGTGAAGGTCACATGGCTGGTGGTCTCCCTCAGGCCCAGGAGAGCAGGGTGGACAAACCCCAGCAAAACACTTCCCCGTGGGCACCACTGCCCCAAGCCCTGGTCTGGGCCCAGCAGGGAGCCCACAGATGTCCGCCAGGGCACCACGCTCCTCTCGTGAGAGAGTCAGAGCTGAGATTCTGATCTGGGGTTATCTGGCTCCAGAGCCCGACCCTCACCTCCCCGCACGCCCCCCTCTCCCCATGCAGGGCCGAGGCTGGGGTGGAGGCTGAGAGAGGCTTTAGAGGGGCCAGTCCTCAGCTCCTGACAACCACCTCTGCTGTCAGAGAGGACCGTGGGCCCAGAGGGCTCATGAGGAGGCCGGAGTGCTGCCAACCGTCAGTGCTCCGCCCCTGGCCCCACCTTGTGACAATCTCACTGTCCGATGGGGAGAACGGCCTACACAGGCCCCAGTGGGTGGCTGCCCCGCAGGAGCCCAGCAGCTGGACCCAGATAAGCAGCTCCCCAGGGAGCGGCTAGCCCGACCCCGTGCCTGCGGGAGTGGCTCTCTGGAGTTCTCTTAGGAGGGAGCAAATCTTTCCCACTCGGCGGTGGAATTTTATCCCATTTCCCCTTTTGACCAAGCGCTGCCCAGCACTGTGGCCCAGGCTGCAGGCAACTTCCTCATCTCAAAGTCAAATCAGATGCATCACGAATCCTAACCCAAGTTGCTTCAAGTAGAGGCAGATGGCAGCAGGCGACACCCTGGGTGGGGAGGGAGCTCTCCTCCGGGTCCTCGCCCGTGGAGCCTGTGTCACCCCCGAAAGGCAGGCGGGAACACACATACAGTCCAGGCCGCTGTGATCCGAGTGAGCAGACAAGGGTCCCCTTGGTCCCCGATTGTATGTAAATATAAGGAGGCCTCGCTGCCGGCTGCAGGGCCAGCCTGAGTGCTCTGAGTTCAGGCGAAAGCAACGGCAGCTCTTCTGCTCTGTGACTGTCTGTCTCCTAAATACACACCGGATAAATTCTTTAATGTCTAATCTTTCACCTAATGCCGGAGAAAAAGGAAAGAACTCGGCTAGTGGTAGGAAGGCTTGATCAGATACAAACTAGTCACTGCACTTCTGGGCCAGAAAGGAGGAAAAGCCGCGATAAAATTTCAGGAGATAAAATTTAGGAGTTAAAGGTAATTTGCTTTAAACCTAAAACAGCCTCAGACCCCGGACGCAGACCTTCTCTCCCTCCCCACGTGCTTCCTCCGAGGCCCGAACCCGGAGATCTACCGCGGCCTCCGGCTGTGGCTGCCGGGGAGGGGCCCTCCGGCCTCTCCGGGCCGCCCTGCTGCCCACGCGGGCGCCAGAGGGCTGGTCTGGGGACCGGGGACCGACTTCCCACGGGAGTCGCAGACCCACCCCGGGCGGCCCTGCAGGACCCGGGTGGGGAGCGGGCGGGGCGGGCGGCTCGTGGCCACTCTGGTCTCCGCCAGGAGGCCCGCCTCGCCTGGGTCCCCGCGTTCGCCCCCAGTTCTCCTGCGGCGTTTCCAGGAGAGGCCCCCTCCTCCAGGGCGCCCTCCCCGCTTCCACCCGCCCCACCCGCCGGGGCCTGCAGGGCGGCCCCCGGGGCGGCCGTTCGGTGGGTGGTCGGTCCCAGAGCCCAGAGGCCACCAGGGCGCCTGCCGCCCGCCCCAGACCTAAGGGAGGGGTGCTCAGCTCTCGCGTTCTCGGCCCTGGGCAGAGGGCAGAGGGCAGTGGGCAGAGGGCAGTGGGCAGTGGGCAGAGGGCAGAGGGCAGTGGGCAGAGGGCAGTGGGCAGAGGGCAGAGGGCAGTGGGCACCTGTGGGTGTGGGTGCCTGGCTCCCTGCAAGGCCTCCTCTCAGCTTCATCTCCTTTTTTCTTCCTAGAGAGGGCCCAGCCCAGCTGGGTGGGAGGAGCCACCAGAGAGGGCAGGGGGGCACTTTGGGACTATTCCCAGGCGGCATGGTGACCCTTTTAAGGCTTAAATGGAGTAGACTGAGATGAGTTCCCAGGACTGGGCGCTGCCACTGCCCCGCCCAGCTCCATGGAACTGCTGGCCCAGGGGTGAGGCGTGAAGAAGGGACTGTCCAGGGACCCTGATGCCTTTGCAGAGATGGGGGCGGGTTAACTGCCCTCCTGTTAGCTTCAACTCTTTTTTAATTAATCAAATTTGTAGAGATGACATTGGTTTGCAATGCATACAGGCTTCAAGTGTACAGTTCAATTAAACATCATCTGCACAGTGCGCCATGCACAGACCACTCTCAAGCAAAGTTTCTTTCCATCCCCATTGCCCCCTGGCCCACCTCCACCTGCCCACCCCTTTCCCTCCAGCTATCACACACTGTGTCTGTGTCCCCTGTTATGTGTATATGATTTTCAGCTAATCCCTACACCTTCTTTCATCCAATCCCTCCTCCCCTCTGACAGTCTGTTCCATGTATTCATGCCTCTGGACCTACTTTGTTCATCAGTTAATTTTGTTCATTAGATTCCACATATAAGTGAGATCATGTGATATTTGTCTTTCTCTGACTGGTTTGTTTCACTTAGCATAATACCCCCCAGGTTCCTCCATGCTGTTGCAAACAGCATAGGAACGGTATAAGTTCGTTCTTTTTTTACAGCTGCATAGTATTCCATTGTGTAAATGTACCACCGATTTTTTATCCACTCATCTACTGATGGACACTTGGGCTGTTTCCAGATCTTAGCTATTGTAAAAACGCTGCTATGAACACATGGGTGCATACATTCTTTCTGATTGGTGATTCAGGATTCTTGGCATATATTCCCCGAAGTGGGATGGCTGAATCAAGAGGCAGTTCCATTTTTAATTTTTTGAGGAAACTCCTTACTGTTTTCCATAGTGGCTGCACCAGTCTGCACTCCCACCATCAGTGCAAGAGGGCTCCCTTTCCTCCACTTCCTTCATCGCCAGCACTTGCTGTTTGTTGATTTGTTGATGGTAGCCATTCTGACAGGTGTGAGGTGATCCCTCATTTTAGTTTTAATCTGTACCTCTCTGATCTTTATTATTTCCTTTCTTCTACTTTGGGCTTTTTTTTGTTTGTTTCTCTTTCTAATTCGTTAAGTTGTAATGTTAAATAGTTTATTAGAGCTTTTTCTTGTTTTTGTTTTTTTTTTTGAGGTAGGCCTATAGTGCTATGAACTTCCCTCTCAGGACTGTTTTTGCAGTGCCCCATA